GTTATAACCTTAAGGAATCTTGGTTCACTTTTTGAGTTTGCTGGAAGATCTGTCATAAAATTAATTGACAACTCGGAGTGGAAACAATCAGGTATTGGTAGCGGCAAGAGGATACCTTTTTTTCTTTCTCTCCAAGCGTGGGATTAGCCACAAATGTCAAAATTTTTACAAAATATTCTCACCATTGAGGAAGCACCTGGCCAGAAGAAACTTCTTGATAAAATTGCATAAGTACTATCTCTACCAGGATGTCCAGTAACGTTGGAATCATGGGTTTTTTGGATCAAGGCCGTTTGTAGAGGCTCCCAATTTGGCACTCATAATCTATTCCGAAATTGAAGAGCACCTCTTTCATCAAAATTACATTCTGAAATTGCAACTTTAAGGTTAAGATTTGATGGGAAGTTTCGTTCATCGTTTTTAAGTGATTTGTATATTACTTCAAAGTTAACGTCTTCTGTGCAGCCCCTATCCCACGACAACTGAAGTTCTGGCTCATGAAATATATGGCACCCAGGCGGTATGATTCGTGAATTTTTGTCAAGATACGAGCTTGGGATAGCTGAAACTGAAGTTATTTGAGTTTTAATGGATCCTTCATCCGGGCACGGCAATTCCAACCAAGAATCTTTTATCAACTGCACTTTGCGGTCTGTCAATCGTTCCTCCTCGGTATTGCCTGGCATATCTTGTTCTCTTCTCGATAGCGCATCTGGTCGTGGTGAGTTTTTACCAGCTCTAAACCTTAACTGGAAATGGATTTGAGAGAGTGTATTACTCCATCTGACTTGTCGCTCAGACAACCTTTTGGTTGTCATGAAATATTCTAAGTTTTTATGGTCTGATAATACCAGAAAAGATTCTTTTAATCCCATGAGTTCCTCTCTCCATTCTTCCAAAGCCGAAACCACAGCAAGTAGTTCTTTATCATGAATTTCATAGTTACATTCTGCTGGGGTAAGTTTTCTCGAGAAATAGGCTTTCGATTGTAGGACTTGGGTTCTGTGAAACTGAGATAGACAGGCACCCATCACATATCCAGAACAATCAGGTTCGATTACCGCTCTATTATCGGGATCATAAGGTGCCAACACGGGAGCTGTGATGAATAGTTCTTTGAGATGTTCGAACGAATCTTCGTACTCTTTCAGCCAAAGAAAAGCCTAGTGCTTTTTTGTTAAGTTAGTCAAAGGTTGTGAAATTTCACTAAAATTTGGGATAAACTGTCTATAAAAGTTTGCAAAGCCAAGGAAGCTTCGTACTCCTTTTATAGTGGTCGGGATATTCCTGGATTTCACTGCTTCAACTTTTTGAGGATCGACCTTGATGCCTTCACCAAGACTAATAATAAATCCCAAATATCTAGTTCTTTTTACAGCGAACTTGCATTTCCTTGGATCTAATTTTAAGCCTGCTTTGCTGAGGCGATGAAATACTATTTCCACTTTCCACTTTCGACCAGTGATCATTGATGTCACCATCTGTGTAAATAAGAATCTCATCTAAGTATGCTGTGCTAAAGTTGTCCAGATAGTCACCTAATGATTCAATAACATATCTTTGAAAGGCAGCTGAAGCTCCCTGAAGACCGAAAGGTGTGACGAGCCACTCGAAAGAACCAAATCTTGTACGAAATGCAGTCTTTTCCTCGTCTCCTTCTCCGACCCTAAGCTTGTGGAACGCAGCTCGAACATCAACTTTTGTAATCCACGTGGATTTAGAAATAGCTCTTAGTGTTTCCCTGATCAAAGGCAGGGGATATAGATCCTTTTCTGTAATTGCATTCAGGGCTCGATAATCCACACAAAATCTGAGGCCACTTCCAGGTTTTCTCACAAATAGCACGGGTGCACTACCTGGTGAGCTACTTGCCCTTATCCATCCTTTATCTAAGTGGTCTGTCAAGGTTTTTCTTAGGACCAACAACTCGTCTCTTGACATACCATAGTGTCATATAGAGACATGATTCATTCATGAGTTGATATTGTTCAGACGATCATGACTATATCAGAACGTCATGTACAGACACGATTCATTGTTTGTACCTGTTGTATCAACCATGACTATGTCTCAATGATAGGAGAAACATCATTGACTAGTTACTAGAAACCTAGTCAATATCCTAAACACATAACTGAGACTAGGAGAATTTTACTAAGTAATTATTATGATGAATCTAGATCTGGAGGAACGTAATCTGGTTGCTTGGCTCGAGGTATATGAACCGGAGCATATCATGTATAATAAAAAATATAGAAATCCATCTCAATTACAATCATCATCTTAATTCATGTCACCATCAATAGCTGCAAAGGACAGTTTAACTATTTCCTTATACTTAGAGGGGACCCCATGATATTGATTTTTCTCTACCTCTATCATCTTTTTCCAAATTTATATTCATATCTGATGCTGGATGTGGCATGAGAGTACTTAACTGATCTTTGATGAAAAGTTGTAACTAGTTTTTAATTTTGTTTGGTAGTTGTGCTTTGATCAGACCTGGTGTGTCAGTCGCTTTGGTTTCTAGAGCTTTGTTTATATCCTCCATTGATATAGCGAAAATCCGTGATCCAGGTTTTCTCTTTGCTAGTTTGATTAATAAGATAAAGGTGTAACAGCTGTCAAGCCTTAGGATTCCTGTAGCCTATGCTGTCTAGCGCAGGCAATTATACAAAGGGAGGTTCCTAGAAACATCTTGGATGACAGGGAACTGGGATGATTCACATTGAACCTTGTTAAAACATACTGAGAGTTACAGGAGTATCAAGGATCTCCTAGTGTCACAGGCTCATACCTGGTTATCATTAGGCTGCTGCCTAACAAATAAGGCTTGAAATCTTCCAACCATATTAAACATCATACATGTCATGAACCCCTCCACAACTCATTAGACCCAAGTATAGGCCTTGGCCCGGTTCATACAAATCTATTCTTAAATAACAAATATAGATTGCAGACAGGACGACTCGAACACCATTTGTGAGCCATCTAAGCCACATGCATCATAACTATTTTAATAACCAAAATTGCTAACATTAAAATGAAGCTAAATTAAAATAGACGGAGATGCTGGTGTTTGTCAGAGGACAGGTCATGTTCTATTTTGAGAATGGTATGAAATGAGGGAAACGAGATGATAGTCTTGTAAATAAATAGGAGGCTTTCAGTCATGTCTCTGCTTGTTACTTTAAGATTTTCATTTGTATCTAGCTCTGAGTTCAGTTTGAATAAAACGCCACTTTAAGACCGTCACACCTAGGTGATTATCTGAGAGTCTAAGCTGTCAAGTAACAGATGGAACCTTATTGAGGAGGGATATTTCAGACTGTATATATAGGTAGTCATTAAGTACAGGAATTCTCTCTTCAGAGAATTATAATTAAAATATTGTATCTACAACATTGCTAATGCATTTTGTAATGAAACCGTGACAAAAGGTTGAGCTTACAACCCTAACAGCAGTGGCAACAAAATGTACATGTGTTTTGAAACCAGATGAGTCATTGCTATTCTACTAGCCTTTTTCTCTAACAATTAAACTATCTGCCCTTGTTCCGAAACAAATTTCTCTCTTTTTTGCAAGATAGACAACATCATTTTGCTCCACCCATGGTTTCCCAAGTATAAGCTGGTAAGATAGATCTTGGATTAGGTATCCATAGACTCTTTCTTTTCTTCCATCAATGTCTAAGTCAGCAAAAGTTATCTCGTTAATTTTTCTTTCTTTTTCATCTTTCTCAGCTAATTGGATAATTTTTATTGGAATTTTTATGCGCAGGAGATTATTGGCTTTCACAAGATCTTTTGAGAATGTAGCAAAACATAGACAGCCTGTATCAATTAAGGCATGTACGTAAAAGCTAGAATTTAACTGGCAATCAATTAAAAATGGTGAGCTATTCATATTGTCTGTCACAGATCAGATATAAAAGCAATGGGCATTTGTATAGAAGATGGTAGTTTATATCTCGACTAATGGTGAGCTATCTAGGAAGTCGGACATGTATTTATACATTCCTTTTCATACTATCCTCAGCCCTTATCCTAGGAATAATCACGGCTTACTGACTTAGATCCTTCTAGTAACTTCTCGTCTCGTCCCTGGAAGGATCTTTCTTCATTGCTAGAAGGTTCCCACTCTTTCTAGGTGAAGCTCAATCAACTCTACTCTAGTCTCGAATGTTCCACCAGAAAAATATGCCAGGTAAGCATATCTGAGAATCTACAAGAATATTCCTGATCATACCTCACAGGAGCCAAGAACTGTCTGCGCTAGCCAGCGTAGACTACAGGCATTACCCGGTTTTCTAACCGTCACATTGTCTAAAGATGTTTCAATCTTATTATTACAAATGTCTCCCTCCCTCTGAAAGTGACGTTGTTCAGAGGTTAGTCTTCCCCTGACAGATGATTTTCTGACTCCTCCAAGTCCATTTCTATATCTTTTTTATTCTTGTCAGATTCTTTTATCTGTGAGCTGTTAAGACTAGCAATTTCTTTTGGCCGTATAGCTGGTCAGTAAGTAGGGAAATTTCGAGATTTATGTCCCATTTTCCGGCACCTAATACACTCACCTTTGTTTGATAGCCTTTGAAATTCATCTTTTAATCTCCACTTAGCTCTGGGTCTGTTTTCGGCAGTATTGTTATGTCATGCATTGAGGGCCATAATAGCTGTTTGAAGAATTTTTAAGGCATAGATGCCACCCATTTTTGTATACCCATATGCATCTATGACCAGCTGTTGGTTTGATGTTGGCGTTTGAGATAGTACTTGCAGGTTTGATCTGTTATGGGCCACAAACCACGTCTTGCTTCCTGAGGAGCTGCGTGTCATAGGATAGGGCCTAAGGCACCTAAGGCTAGGTTATAGATGAACGAGCTAGGGCTGTTTAGGCAACATGAGATCTGCCCTGTTTGATCATAAGCACTGACCATATTCCCATATATATAAGGGAGACCATTCCCACTCCAACTTCTCTCTTTAGTTCACAATCTTCAACATAGCCTACAGTACAATTTGAATGCAATTATACTTCCGACTCTTACATTGCAGGGCCAATAAGAAGGTGAATTTTCAAGACGACCAGAGATACTTTGAACTTTGGAAATCCATTTAGCATAATTGTCTTCCGGCAAGTTTTTGTTCATCAGCAGCTGACAAAGCAGGGCATTGATTGCAATTTCTAGATGCATTATTTTATATTCATCTGTCCAACCTGTTTTTCCACATTGTGAAATCTTTAACTCATATTCCTGAAGGTAGTCCACAAAATACTGAGTGGCACCCATTTGCATTCGACCGAGTTGATCAGCTACCATTTGGCAGGCTAACTTGTTCTCAAATGTTTCCTTCAGGTGATCTAGAAAATGATTCCAATTATAATTACAATCAAAACCACCAGTCTCAAGCCAGTTTAAGATTCTTGGTTGCTTATCTGATGGGACAGAGCGAAAAATATCGAAAAAAATAGCTCTATCAGAGCCGAGTACACCTCGATCCTCTTCAATCTTAATTCTCAGAAGGAATAGGTGGGCATTTTCAGGCTTTTCATGTGCTTTCCAGTCAAAATTTAATAGTGATTGCCGACCAAAGAGAAGTTCAAATGGAGAGCAGTTAATACTTTCATGATGAAGTGCTAGCTGAGCAAAGTCCATAAGTGGAAGTAGTCTCCCCCAGTTGTCTTGAAAGTGGTTAACAAAAGGACGGAGTTGCAAATCAAGATATTGATTCATTATTTCTGTTTGGCTGTCTGTTTCTGGGTGATATGCTGTCGAAAGCTTGCGTTCAACTTGAAGGAATTTGCAAAGGCACTCCCAAAAATAAGAAATGAACTGCGGTCCACGATCTGATACTACACTGTCTGGTGCGCCCAAGTAACAAAAACAGTGGACAAAATATATTTCTGCAAGATCTTTTGCATGCACTGTTTTCTTACAAGGAATAGTGACAGCCTTTTTACTCAGGCGGTCAACAAAAACAACAACCATATTAAATCCCTCGTCATCTTCGGGCATTTCCTTAAAATACATACAAATGTGCTGCCATGTATGGTTAGGAGTTAGGAGGGAATGTAGAAATCCTGGAGTTTTATCATGGTTAATATGTGATTGTCTGCAAGGATGACAATTGCTGATAAACTGATTAATAAATGACTTCATGCCTTTCCAGTAGTAGCAAGCCAACAATATTTGTAAAGTTTTTTTAGATCCAGGATGTGCTGTAGAAGGCCGTTCATGGGCTTCTTTAACAAGAGCGGTTCGGATATTGTCAACATCAGGTACAACCAACTGATCCTGGTCATATATCAACAGGCCATCCTCAATTTTAAACTGACTATCTGGTTTGTTCCGAGCAATATTTCTTTTATCTTCTAAGGAAGAGTCCTCCCAATTTAACCAAAGAAGTTTTTCAGTAATTTCAAATGTTTCCATAAAATTAATGTTTAGCCAATAGGGAGACTCTTCATATTGACCACTCTGCAACAAGGCGCGTTGTCTCAACTGGGTTTTAGTCTTGTTCTGAGTTGTCACATCTTGGTTACGTCGTGTAAGAGCATCTGCAACAGCATTTGATTTCCCGGGTGTATACATAATTAAGAAATTAAATTGTGCTAACAACTCTGCCCACTGCACTTGTCGAGCATTCAATGTTTTTGTTGTCATGAAGTATTCTAGAGCTTTGTGGTCGGTGTAAAGGTCAATCTTATAAGGAGAGCCTTGGAGTTCAGCCCTCCACTGACCAAAGGAGCGAACAATTGCTAACATTTCTTTATCATGAATTTCATAATTTAATTCCGCTTTTATCATTGTTTTTGAAAAAAAGCAACTGGATGCCAGTTATTGTCTTATGAAAGTTGGGAGAAAACTGCGGCTACAACTCGGTCTGAGGCGTCAGTTTCTATTTGTGATGGACGCTGAGGATTGTAATGAGCTAATAATGGAGACGTTATAAGTCGACGTTGCAGTTCTTTAAAAGCACCTAGACATTCATCCGTAAAATCAAACTGTCGACCTTTGTGAGTGAGTCTATCTAGAGGCTTTACAATTATTCCATAGTCACAGATAAATTGCCTGTAAAAATTACAAAATCCTAGAAATGATTTTACAGACTTTAGGTTTGTTCAAAGTTTCCAGTCTTTAATGACTGCTACTTTTTCTGGATCAGCTTGAATACCATCAGTACTTACAATAAACCCAAGGTAGCGCGTCTTGGTGACTCGAAACTCGCATTTTTTTATTTCAGCCTGCAGACCTGCACTACGAAGATGTTGCAGAGCTAGTTTGACATGCTTATCATGTTCCGAAGGATTATCAGAGTATATGAGGGTGTCATCGAGGTATGCAGTACAGAAGACGTCAAGATAATCAAAAAGGACATCATTCATATGCTGTTGGTAGGTTGCTGGTCCATTGGTAAGTCCAAAAGGCAAAACTTTGTACTTGTAGGCCCCATAGCGTGTTCGGAAAGTGGTTAGTTCTTCGGATGCAGATTCCATACAGATACAATGAAATGCTTGGCAAATATCTAATTTTGTAAAAATCTTTGCCCTATTAAGTCTGGCAAGAGTTTTGTCTATCAACGGGGGTGGGTAACAATCCTTTTTTGTCAAAGCATTGAGCTTTCAGTAGTCTTCTCAAATAAGATAGGCGAAGAAAATGGAGCTTGACCGGGTTCTATCCATCTTTTGTCTAGATTATCAATCAGATATTCTTTTACTAATCGAAGCTCCTCAGTTGACTGTTTACACAGAGGACCATATGTCATTTTGGCGTCTTTCTCAAGTTGAATCATATGATCATAGGACCGATGAGGAGGAATAACATCTGAGTTATTTTGGGAGAATACATCAAGAAAGTCACGATATTCTAAGGGAGCCTGCGCAGCGAGATCCTTGGCTTCAGTTTGATCTTGTTTAGAATCCCGTCTAGTTAACTCTTGGTTGATTTCCTGCAAAGATGCCGAAAACATAACATTTTCTTGGCTATTAGCAAGTAATTTGTATGCAACAGCAGAGATGACGTTGATACTAAACTCAGAGGGAGGTGTGATCTGTAAAGACTTTGCTACTGTAGTATGAGCTCCATCAGAGGTTTTGAGTATAATTGGTCCTTTTGATGGATTATTTGAACGGACTAACAGGCGTATAGAAGATTTAGGCCTAGATTCACGTCCATCAGCTGCTCGTCTTTCATCATGGCTGATTTCTCTATCTCGTCGATCGGCATCAAATTGATGAGATTTTCTCACTGGAGGTGGTCTAAGAATTTTACGAGGGACGACAATTTCTCTTTGAAACAACAGTTTTTGTTTCGGCGGAGATCTCCAGTACAACTTTCTATGGCAAATATCAGGAAGCACATCAAAATGGGCCATCCATGCATCACCTAGTATAATATCCTGGTTACCGAGGTCGAATATTAGGAAAGGAATATCTGTCATGGCGAGACATTCTTAAACCAGAGTCTAAGTAGAGTGCCTGAGGGTAAAGTTCACGGAACAGGTTTTTCGGCTCACCCTCAACACTTGCACTTATATGGTGAGAATAGATAATGCGCCAACTGGAATTGATATGGTTGAGGTCACAGTTTGAGTTATGATGGGAAATTACAACAGACTTAGTTGAATTATGTTAGATAGTTATTTATACTTAAGGAAGCTGGAGCTACAACAAAGTATTTCTCCAGCTTCACAATCTTATAATATTATTACAGTATCCCTCTCGCAAACCAGCTTCCTTCTAGCCATAGTACTTTGTCGACTTTCAATCTCTATAGTATTCACCACTTGACCTTTACATACCCTCGGCAATCGGCGATCTCGATCTACCCTACAGCACGCTGTAACAATATCTGTCAGAGTAAATCCATCAATATTCATGGTGGCCACAATAAAATGAGTTATCATGCGGCCTGGGACACCATCATATCCCTTGGGGATGATTGGTTTCGGAAGGGCAATTGGGGCTATATGTAGCGGCTGGTAAGCTGATTGATCCCTGTAGCCATTGTTGGTTAACTTAGGCCTAATTCGAGTGGCATTATTAATCAGTACCAATTTGCTAATGTGCGATGCCACCCAATACAATACTTTTGCATCGGCATTTTGTTGTGCTGGCTCGGTTGAGTTGTTAGGAGACAGGGGAGCAGAGGATGGGCTGCTGGATTTGAATTTGAATTTGAAATCTTTTACGTGACAGGAAGAACCTAACATCTATTTAGACGTGACACGGGTAGATGGGCTCTGAAAGCTCATTGCTACCTACATGACCGGCAGTGGGGCCAGAAGCGACAAAAGAAAAGAGTGAAAAAAAAAGAACAGTATGTGTCTGAGTTACGGTGCCCTGCGCCGCATCCCAATCTTCCACACCCATCTACTCTCGGGTCAGAAACAATCTCAGCGTGGTCACCTCCCACCCTGTTCATTCTTTGGCAGACTGTAACATCGGCTTGTAGTTAAGAATCGAATGAACTTCTGCCATCCCTTCTCCCCTATCATTTCCCTGGCCCCAGGAGGGGCCATTTTCTCATAGATTCTCCAACGTAGCAAAGCAGGTCGGCACTCTGAAAAATGCCAGGGCCTTTTCTCTCGGCCGCAAACGCATTTCAGATCTTCATGTTCGGGGCTGAAACGTCGATGGTTATTGGCATAGTCCCCGTGGCCTGTTCTTGCCGCAATAAGACGATGGTACGCCCATCTTGGTAAAGCTAGCTCCGGTGGTCTTTTGCAACGCATGAATAGGTCCAGATCTTTGTATTGTTTCGGTCGATACTTCTGCCACCACTCTTCCACGAGCTCTTGGCTACGCTGTTTAACCCACCTCCCTAATGCCGCAAATGTTAGATCTTGATCTTCTAGAATGGGCGCAGCTGAGGTTAGTGACCGGTTATTGGAAGCTCCCAAGGCTGATTCGGCCAGCTTATCGGCCTCTTCATTGCCTTGAATCCCCACATGCCCGGGTATCCAGCGTATTTCCACACGCTTATTGTGTCTCAGCGATGAAAACTTGTCCACCACCGACTGCGAGGAGTTAGATCTTCCTCTTTCGAGCGCCTGGGTGGCCGCTTGGTTGTCCAGAAGAATGCAGATCAGTAAGTCTTTTCCTACCTCTATTGCAGCCTTCAAGGCTTTCATGGCACCTACAACTTCTGCATCGAATACCTCTGCTCCGGGAAGTGGACCGGAGCCACTTGCAACTAGCTTGCCTCCTTGGTAAACTACATACCCCCAGGATGATTTTTCGGGACCCGATGATGATCCATCAGAGAAAGCGAAGACTGTGTTAGCTGGGCGGGAAGCTAACCACCGCTTTATGCTTCCA